GGTGTCTCTGTACGGGGGTGATGTGGAGAAAGGCACCAAAGAGCCTGCTGGGACGTGCACCCCGGGCTGGCACCCCGCGCTCCTTCAGGGGGGAATCGCCCTCGCCCATGCGAGCCTACAGCAGCCGGGAGAAGTGGGTTCTGGTCGGTGTGATGAGGGAGGAGTGGAGGGCGAGCTGGTGCAAGCAGCGGTGGGAGGACATGGGCACGCGGGACACGGAGCATCCGCGCGTCAAGGCCGCGTCAGGGGATGCAGCAGCAGAGCGGGAGCTGTCGTGGGCAGCGGGCACCAGCCCTCGCTCTGGGCGGTTGTACTCTCTCCAGAGCTCACTGTCCGCAACATCCTCCCGTTGTTAATCCAGCAGCAGCAGCTTTTCAGGCAGAACTAATAGTTAGCTGAGCTTTTACATCCCGGCTCAGCTGCCTGCGCGGTCGCATTAATTTTTAAACAAATAGTCAGTGAAAGAGCCTACAAACGCAGGGGCCACATTCTGCACCGGGGAAAGCAGGTGCTGTGCCTCTGAACGCAGTGCAGTGACGGCCCCGAACTGTGGTGGGGTTCGGTGTGTTGTGTCTGCAACCACGGCTGCGCATCACATGTGTTTTCGCCCTTGCAACGGCTGTGCCTTTCCCCCCGTACTAGTTCATTCTTTGTGTTTCTATCTAGATCCAGAGTGGGCTTCTTACAAACTGGGAATATTCATTTGTTTGAATTGCTCTGGAATCCATCGCAATCTTCCTCAGATCAGCCGGGTCAAATCCCTTCGGCTTGACTTCTGGGAGAACGATCTTACAGAGGTACAGAGGAAAAAGCAGTAATTTGCTTACTTTTCTCCACATTCCATCATAACCTCCTCTGCCCCATAATTCCTGTGTCGTCCACCATGGACAGAGGAACAAAGCCACACAGACCCCCTTAACTCTGTGGGTAACTTTAGGAGGTTTTTTGTGACCTACTCAAATTACACTGACAGGTGAACATGTTTCTAACAGCGTCCAGTGTCGTTTCTTCATAGCACATGGCAACTTCCCACAGTGGTTTAGAAGCCCGCAGATATTTCCAGGTAGTGTGTTCTATTTGGAAATCAACATATTCTTCCTAAATATTGGTTCAGCTTCTCGTCTCTCAATTGAATTGTGTTAATATAATCACAGTTAGTGTCTGGGGGCAGGTGAAGGTGTAGGGAGATCATAACCAAACATTTTTTTCTCCTCATTTTCTTTTGTTCTTTTAATCAACAACTGCCGTTTTGTGTCTCTTCCCATCTGATTCTGGACTGTAAAGACTGAAAAAGGCTCAGGCAGCTAAAAAGTGCAAACTGTAGTGCCAAAAGAAATCCATAAACCTATGTTGGAGCGCACTGAGAGACTGAGCCACAAGTGCAGCGCTCCCTTTGATACAAGTTTCATGCTATGTCCATGACCTGGAATTGATTTTGTAGTTGCAGACCTAACTGTAGCTTCTTTTGTATTTCAGTTTATGAAGAAGCACGGGAATGTCTGTGCCAAAGCTAAATATGAAGCGAAAGTCCCTCCCTACTATTACATCCCCCAGTCCTCTGATTGCTTGTAAGTTGATGGTGTATTCACTGCTGCAGACCTTTACAGCTGTTTAACTACCGCTTCTCTCTACAGGTCTCTCTGGTTGGTTGCTGAAAATAGAGTAGAAGAAGATCAGCTTTATCCATGTTTTCTTTTTCCAGGGTTTTAAGAGAGCAATGGATCAGAGCTAAATATGAGCGTGAGGAATTTGTTGCCACCCGAGTCTGCCAAGATCCGTGTTCTGCAGGTAAATTGTTAGAGTGTTAGCCTTAAGGCCAACAGCACAGCGTTCTTTTGCAACTTTGAAGATCTTCAAGGTTGGCTTCTCATATTTGAACTGTTGGATATGCAGACATTGCTTGGAGTCTAACTTTGAGAAGGAGCTCCTAAGAAAAGGCACTTTGACAAGTGCAAGGGTGTGTTCAGATCTTACAGTTCTCTTGTTCTACACCGATTTTTTCATACGAGGTGAAAATTCTCAAATGGAGAAGTGACTTCAAACTCTGTGCTACATCACTGTTGAGATAAACAGTCCTGCTATTGTGCTGCCCTTCTCTGACACCTACCTTGGTCCGATCTGCAGGTAGCCGTGAAGGATTCCTCTGGAAGCGTGGGCGGGAAAGCAGACAGTTCCAGAAGAGGCGATTTCTCCTATCAGCAAGGGAAGGGGTGTTGAAGTACTACACCAAAGAAGTGAGTTCCTCAGCCAGACTTGGCTGTAGGTAGCTGGTCAACATCCATCCTCAGACCCTGCTTTTCACTGGCGAAAACCAGCATAAACAGCTCTGTCTCTGGTTTTGCAGCCAGGCCAGCCTGTGTTTGGAGGAGGCCAGATGTTTCCCCATCAACATAATGTGATAGCCCTTTTGGATTTAGCCCTTTTCCTCATCCCTTATCTTAACCCTGCAGCCTCTTTTTGCTTAGTGAACAAAGGAAATGGATACTGGCATTGAATAGCAAGATGAAGAAGAGATCTGTTAGCAGCTGTTACCTCTTACATCACCAAAATATGCTGTCATCAACTGCTGCAGCATCATCCTCGACATGTCTCCCTTCTGTAGGAGAGTGTAACTAATTGTTCTCCAACCATCAGGCTGGAGATAGAACCCATCCCTTGCAATTCAGACACATCCCTCTCAAAGGGCAACCCAGCATCTGTCAAGGAAAGGGAGTCATTCTCTGTAAGTGATTTTAAGTAGCATATAATTAGGGCTTTATATTTCAGATATATCCAATATTAAGGTATTTTAGGATGTCTGCATTCTCTTCAGTATGGATCTAGTTCTCATACAGATAATCTGTTCTCCATTACCTTCCCCGAGAGCGCTTTAATGCTGTGATGCTTTTCATTTCACAGTCCAGAGGTCCAAAAGCCATTATCAACATTGAGAACCTGAATGCAATGTTCCAGACAGAGAAAATCCAACATGCTCATGGGCTGCAGATCACATACAACACAGATGGTCAAACAAGGAACCTTTTTGTCTACCACGAAAGTGGAAAGGTGAATACCACAGGGATTTTGGAATCAGCAAGATGCGTAGATGTTGGATCTGTATTTTGGAAGATACTCTGTTTCTGCAGGATCTGGTTTGATTTGAAGCCACTATGACTTGTAGAATAGAGAAAGTTGCAGAATGTGACACTAATGATATGCATAGAAAATATTGTTCTGCATTATTTCCGAACAGTGGTAATTTTGGAATTACCGTCTCTCCAGGTACAAAGGTTTTTAAACAATCCAAAACTGAATCAACTGAAAAAGCCTGTGTACACACTGTCCATGCTGAGAATGCCTGGGACCTCCCTGGAGGGGCATTTTAAAATTAGCTTGGAGGCTCGATGTTTTTCAGATGTCTGGGGCAAGTCACTGACTCTCTCTGCCCCTTGGGGAGAAAGGACATCTTTGAAAGGAGGTCACAGGGAAGGAGAAAGGCATCTTGGAGAGGCAGCATTCTTATTCCTTCTTGTTATTCTTGTCGTTACGTTTGTATTTGCTGTTTTCCCTAGGAGATTGTTGACTGGTTCAATGCCATTCGGGCAGCACGTTACCATTATCTCAGAACAATCTTCTCAGCTGTCCCTGAGCCTGAGGTGAGAACTGAACGGGGCTTGACGCAGTCTATGCAAACATAGCATGGGAAAACTTATTCCCACTTCTTCTGCCAGTCAGGTGCTCAAACAGCACCATATGGGTCTTGGGAATGGACAGGAGATGAAGAAGGAAAGGTCAGTGGATAACATGCAAAACCATAGTCAACATTTAAGGCCTAAAAGTCTCCATGTGGTCGTTATAGAGTGTAATCTTTCAAAAACTTTATGTTCCTTCTCAGTTCAGACTTCCCTTTACTGAGCAGCCAAAAAAAGCCCAGGCCCCAAACGCCAAAATCCATGGTGATTAGCTTTGACAGAAACAGAACAGAAAAGCAAGCTTGAGTGAGACAGACTTTTTTTGTGGTTTTGTGTTCTCCTAGCTCATACCCAGGATCACAAGAAATTACGTCAAAGAAGGATATATGCAGAAAACAGGACCAAAAGTAAGTGCACACTTGGCAATACGCAAACAGATTTATTCCAGATGGAGAATACTTGATAATTCTGTGATGTTTATTAGTAAATGATTTGTTGACTATATACTTCCTGGGGTGATAAAAGACCTTATATTCAAGCCTGTCATGTTCTTCGGGTTCATGTTTTATTTTGTGTGGAAAATAAGACTGGGAAGAAGAATCCCCCTTGAAGAGTAAGCAGAATGGCTTAGCTGGCAGTAGACGTGCAAAGTCCTGTTACGCAACACTAAATGGATTACTGTATCTGCTCTCTGCAGCTCTAGAACTGCAGCTCCTGCTAGAACAGAACATCACATGCTGACTCCCCTACTTCCCTGTTTCTCTTAAAGTCAGTAGCACAGAAGTCACATCTGCTTATAGCCCACAGTGAAGCCTATGGTTTGGTTTGGGTTTTTTGGGACAGTATTTGGGCCACGACTCCTTGGAACAAGAGAGGGAGATTTCAGGCTCTGCTGAAGGGGGAGATAAAGATCTGAGGTCTTGTTTGAATGTGGCCACTTCTTGCCTTGCTGTCTGAGTGAACCATGAGCCAAAGTCCATTTAAAAAGTTCAGTGGTGAAATGCTGATATCGAATATGCTGTGCTTTTGGCCCCGCTCAGTGGTAGTCTCCCAATACATCTTTCTGCAGGTAATGGCACAGAGGATACGCACAGCTACAGGCATGAAAGATTGTGTGTTTTTGTCCTGAGGCCTAAATTCTGCTCAAACTGATGTGAGTCCTAGAAAAGGACCCTTTGGTTCAGCATGGAGCAATGAATAGCTCAGGGAATGGTCAGATGAGTGCAGTTGATGCAATCAGCACTTTTTAAAAAACCATTTGTCCCTATCATTGTGCATCCCCCAGTGCTAGGACAACTCCACAGACCAAATTGCTCAAGTGGATTGCACACTCTCCATTATAGCCACTGGCCCAGGGATAATTCTCTGCGGTGCTTTCTATTAATCTGTTTGCTGCAACTTCCATCATCATGGTAATTTGATCACTGGTAGAACCAAATTCCCTGCCTTCCCCAAAAGTCTGTCACTGACTGCAAATCTGTAGCATGAACCCAGGGAGAAGGGAGCTGAGGGCTGCATGCAGCAGTGACTCAGCCGTTATGGGGATGAATGAAACCCAACTCAAGCTCTGAGTCATTTAAACGGTCCAGGGATCTGCCTTGAATAGGCTGAAATCCCCTTTGGGACTTGGTCTTTAAAGAACTTCTGCCATCTCCTTGCAGCAGAAGGAGGCCTTTAAGGTGCGCTGGTTCTGTCTGGATTCTCAAGAAAGGAACCTGATGTACTTTAAAAATCCACTGGTAAGAGGAGTTCTTGGCTATTCCACAAACCCTTTGTGAAGTTGGGTGGGGAGAAAGGGTCTGTTCTCATCCAGCTCTTCCAGTGGCTGCGCAGGACTGGTGCAGGCTCAGTCTCAAGAGCTCATCATCTTCCTTGTCAGCTGAGCTCTTTGGGAACTCTAGCCTTTACAGTGGCTGTGAGGAAGATCTAGGTCTTTTAAAACTAGCTGCTACAGCCTGTAGTTTTTATAGCCCACTTTCTCCCCACCCTAGCGCCACTGTGCCTGTAACCTCAGGCAAGATGAGCAATATACCGATAACAGGCATGGCAGCCCCAATATGCTGCTTCCTACCACTGCTCTAGCCATGAGAATACCTTTCCTTGCTCCTGAACACCCACCAACCAGCTCTGTAAGGGCAGGTCCCTACCTCCTCCTCCTGAGAATGCCTGTGAGTGTAAAAAAGCTTCCGCTGTGTTTCCTGCTGTCGGTGTCCCCTTCATGCATCCCCAGTGCCTGCTCCGTGTCAAAGGGTAGAACAGTGTCTGCTGGAGCTGTGGTGGCCACTGGCTAATGGCTGTCTTTTGCTTCCTTCTTTCTAGGATGCATTTGCACAGGGCCAGGTTTTTATTGGAAGGATGGATGCAGGATATGAAGTACGAGCTGGCTTGCCCCAGGGAGTGCGGGTGAAGAAGAGGAAACCGGCGATCACTGTGGTCACGCCAATGAGAGAGTTTGTGTTTATATGTGAGAACGACAGGGAGCAGAGGGAGTGGATAGATGCCTTAAATGGAGTCATTGCCCAGCCTTTGACTGGTTAAGACTAGCACTGAATTCTGGTGAACTGCACTTCTCAGGCTCTGTTCAGCACTGCTCTGTGGCCTCACTGTTGGCAAGGATGGTGCTCAAAGCCCTGCAGTGACTCTGACAAAGGGCTTCTTCCTTCAACAGCCACAGGCACAGGAAGGGTGGCCACAGAGAAACGAGTAAGAGGGAGTGCAGATACTCCGAAATTATCTGCGCCCCTGCAGAACCTTGCTTGAAGTGCTTTCTCTCCTTCTACCCTTCTCTGCTTTTGAGCAGAGGAGGCCTTCCCAGCCTGATGTAGGGATGAATCATCAGTGTTGTCTTATGGAAAAGAACCAGACTCAATGGAGAAAGTCAGATCCTGGAAAGGCTGGCATGCATTCCCTTGAGGACTCCTGCAGATGCTGTTGTATCAGATCCTCCTTTTCTTGCCTTTGATGTCAGGAGAACCTCTGTACATCTTGAAGCATGCACTGGACAATCCCACCGGTGAACGGGATCTGTTACAGGAGCACACAGGGACAGTGACCGAGAGGCAAAGATATCGTCACCCATCGGGAAGATGATGCATGTCCTGTTGGATAGATCTAAGATACCAATTCATGCTGGAGTCACTGGATGTCCTTCTTGGGGAGGAGCAGAACCAGACAGCTACACCCCACCTGTGCAGCTCCAGGTAGGGACACGGTTGTTTTCAACGGAGTGGATTTAATGTCTTTTACAGTGTTACATTTCTGGCACAGTAGAAAATAAAAGTCAAGTTTGAATTGTGCAGGATACTATAATGGAATCCCTCTAACGACAAATACTCCTGGATCCTTGCTTTCAACAGTCTCTGCTGTTTGACTTTCATGAGTGGCAAATCCAACATGTGAAGACCAAATTTTTTCAAAGCAACCCCACATAGTGCCCCAGGAAACACATCATGAGTACAGGATGAACGAATGCTCATCTGTCTCACAGCCTAAAAAACAACTGAAGTGTCATGAGCTTGATTAGTCTGAGTACTGAAAGGCAGAAACTAGTTTTAAAGTGTTGTCATCAGTGACCTGCTTTAAGACACGCAGTGAATGAGGACCAGCACTGGAAGTGGAGGGTGAGTGCCTCCTGGTCAGGTACCACACACATCCGTCCCGGGCAGGAATTGGTGAAGATTTGCATTGGCTGATACAGCACGCTATTTTCTTGCCTCAGGACCAAGTCTGAGATTTGGTACTACCAAGTCATTCAGATATCTGATTCTTCTTTTCAGATAGCCATAGTTGCAAATCAAGAGGAAGTCTTGCAGACTCAGTTTCTGGTGAAGCTTCCACCTTTTGCTAACAATTGCCAGCCTTTCTGAGATGGCCAGAATAGTTCTGCTCTGCAGAAGTGAGGAAGTGCCAGTATTTACAGAGATTAGTGAGATTAACTTTTTTTTTTTTCCTCCTCAGTAGTGCAGTTTGAGCTGGATCATCATCCTGCCAGTATTGGCCAGCTTGTCGCCATCCACCTCTTGATCAATCTGAGCAATCTGCAGCAGCGTTGCTTGTGAAATTCCCTGTGTTCCCACTCTCTCCCCATGCAACCTGATTCATTCTAGCTCACATGCTGGTTCAACAAACCTTTACAACAACCTGGTCCTGCAGCCCTTGAAATCATTAGCAAAGCACCTTCTGACTTGTATAAGGAGCAGTGTCGGTCTTCGTTTGGTTTCATTTACGTTAGTGGTTAGGGATGGGCTGAGTAACCCAGGATGACCTCAGCAGAGAGCAGTCTATCCACTAACCTAAATTTCACGCAGATGGTGCTCTGCGAGTCCCGTCCCGCTGGTTCTCGGATGGGCCAGGAGACTGGCCATGTCAGCAACCCTGATGTCACTTGTTACTAAACAGGGAAATTCCCTATGAACATGAAATCTTGCAGATAACAGCAACTTTTGCGGAGAGTCAGTAGAAGTCAAGGCCGGGTCACGCAGAGCTCTGTCACCGTTCCGTTCTACAGCCAACCCAAGTGCTCAGGCCGAGTGGGCAGCAGAGGAGGAGCAGGGCCGATGCCGGGCTTAGCGGCTGGGCTGCCCGGGGGCAGCAGGCTCGGCGGTGGGGCACAGCGCGGGC